GATTGTAGACACTTTATTAGATTTTATGAAACGTCTCAGAACAGCTCATATTAAATCTATTTTACCCATACCTTAACTTCTGATTGCTGCACCAAGTTAGACGCTTCGGAAATTAGCATAGTTTGTAAAAAAACCTGTCATCAAAAGTCAACAGACCTTTCTCATCCCATCGGTCCCAATGTCTCTGAAAACCAGATGGAGTCCACCTCTGGTCTCTCTGGGTCTTGCCTCATCTGGTCTCCTCTTGTTTGTTTGCAGCCGTCTCTGTCCGTGCTCTACATGCTTTCTGACGGAGCGACTCATGAGGCCATCCACCTGCTCTGCCGAATGCTGGTGTTCGACCCGGTCAGTCACTCCACCCCCAATGCAAGATTTATCTAACATGTCGTAATGAATGCAGTGTTGTAAAGCTTCTTGGTCTTTCTGGTCTTGCTCTCTCTGTGATCTCTCTCGCTCTGTGGTCTCTCTTGCTCTGTGGTCTCTCTTGCTCTGTGGTCTCTCTTGCTCTGTGGTCTCTCTTGCTCTGTGGTCTCTCTCTCGCTCTGTGGTCTCTCTCTCGCTCTGTGGTCTCTCTCTCGCTCTGTGGTCTCTCTCTCGCTCTGTGGTCTCTCTTGCTCTGTGGTCTCTCTTGCTCTGTGGTCTCTCTCTCGCTCTGTGGTCTCTCTTGCTCTGTGGTCTCTCTTGCTCTGTGGTCTCTCTCTCGCTCTGTGGTCTCTCTCTCGCTCTGTGGTCTCTCTCTCGCTCTGTGGTCTCTCTTGCTCTGTGGTCTCTCTTGCTCTGTGGTCTCTCTCTCGCTCTGTGGTCTCTCTCTCGCTCTGTGGTCTCTCTCTCGCTCTGTGGTCTCTCTCTCTCTCTGGTCTCTCTCTCGCTCTGTGGTCTCTCTCTCGCTCTGTGGTCTCTCTCTCTCTCTGTGTTCTCTCTCTCGCTCTGCGGTCTCTCTCTCTCTGTGGTCCCTCTCTCGCTCTGTGGTCTCTCTCTCTCTCTGGTCTCTCTCGCTCTGTGATTGCACTACAGCAGTTGTGAGTTCAGGTGTTTAGAAAAGTGTAATCAGGGACCACTGTCCTTACACCTCATCCTCCTCTTCTTCATCTCCTGCAGCTGAAGCGTATCTCCGGCTCTGACGCGCTCTCTCACCCGTACCTGGACGAGGGCCGGCTGCGGTACCACACCTGTATGTGCCAGTGCTGCTACAGCGTCCCTAGTGGCCGAGTTTACACCCGCGACTTTGAGCCTGTGGCCGAGAGACCCTTCAGCCACAGCTACGAGACCAGCCTGCTGTCAGTGTGGCAGGGGAAGGGTAAGTAGCTCCTGATGAGACTGTCAGTGTGGCAGGGGAAGGGGTACGTAGCTCCTGATGAGGCTGTCAGTGTGGCAGGGGAAGGGTAAGTAGCTCCTGATGAGACTGTCAGTGTGGCAGGGGAAGGGTACGTAGCTCCTGATGAGACTGTCAGTGTGGCAGGGGAAGGGTACGTAGCTCCTGATGAGACTGTCAGTGTGGCAGGGGAAGGGTACGTAGCTCCTGATGAGACTGTCAGTGTGGCAGGGGAAGGGTACGTATCTCCTGATGAGGCTGTCAGTGTGGCAGGGGAAGGGTACGTAGCTCCTGATGACAGCTCTACAGAGACACTAGTGTAGCTCCTGAAGACAGCTCTACATAGACACTAGTGTAGCTCCTGATGACAGCTCTACAGAGACACCAGTGTAGCTCCTGATGACAGCTCCTGATGATCCTCTGTTGTTTTGCAGAGCTCATCCATCGCTTCATCACCGAACATCAACAGGGAAAGAGAGTCCCGCTGTGCATCAACCCACAGAGCGCCGCATTCAAGACGTTCATCAGGTGAGAACCACTGTCGCTCCTCTGGCAGGGGCTTGTGAAAGTCTTAAGTATGGAATTTTGAAACACTGTTTTCCAGACCTTCAAAAGTCTTGAATGGAAGTTTTCATTTGAAGTTTTTGAGTCTAATTTAAAGACACATTTTTACCGTATTAGCCTGAACGATATCCAATCAACACTAGCTTAGCCTAGTCTGGCACATTTTTGTGATGTCACTGCTGAGGTCTATTGACAGTAGGCACACAATACAAGTACATAAAGTTAAGGTCTTGGGGAAAAAAATATCAGTTTTTTAAAAGTCTGTAATTTTAATTTGTAAGAAGAGCAAGCCCTCTGCTCTGGGCGGCGCTCACTCTTCTGAGCTTCTAATCTTTTAAACTCTTCTTTTTCAGGTCCACTGCCTGGCATTCGTCCAAAGTGTCTCGAAAAGAAGAGAGATGAGTCCAGACCAGGTTCCGACCCAGCCCAGGACTTGTGTGGATCCCTGTACAGCCTCCTCCAGACCCACACATTCTGGTTTAGTCCTGGTCCCAACCTGGTCCATACCTGATCCATACCGGGTCCCAACCTGGTCCCAACCTGGTCCCAACCTGGTCCCGACCTGGTCCCAACCTGGTCCCGACCTGGTCCCGACCTGGTCCCGACCTGGTCCCGACCTGGTCCCGACCGGGTCCCGACCTGGTCCCGACCGGGTCCCGACCTGGTCCCGACCTGGTCCCGACCGGGTCCCGACCTGGTCCCGACCGGGTCCCGACCTGGTCCCGACCTGGTCCCGACCTGGTCCCGACCTGGTCCCGACCGGGTCCCGACCTGGTCCCGACCGGGTCCCGACCTGGTCCCGACCGGGTCCCGACCTGGTCTTGATGGTGCTGTGTACAGACAGTAAAACAGAAAATTGCTGCTTATTTAAAGAAAAGTCTCGGTACAAAAACCTCCTGATGTTATTTTGACTTTTTGCTGTAAAATATTTTAAGGAAATAAGTTCTTGTTGTTGTTTTGGTAGATTTTAGTTTGAGTTTTGAAGTCATTCCACTTCTGTGCAATATATTTACTCCTCCTCCGACTGCGTCCGCAAAGCGACTCCACGAATGCACCAAAGACACAAAGATGCATTTTAGTTCACTTTTCACACACTGAGGATTCTGCCGCGGCCATTTTGTGTCGTGAGGCGCAGAAATCTCCTTAGGAAATAAACCGCACCTGGACACGAGCACGATCACTGTTCTGTTTACTTCACCTTAAAAATTTACACGTGTTATTAGTCACAATCGTCTGGGTGTAAATGTACCGATACCAAGACCACTGTCTGTGTTTGCTGAGAGAGAGTACGGTGTGTTTGAATATCTGTCAGAATATCCCTAACTTGGCGCCTGGCTTCAGACATATGTTTGTTGTACGGATATTTCAAGGCTCCTGTTTCGGTCGAGTGAAGTTGAAGATCTTTTTGAGACGCTTTTAGAACCCACGTAGATTGATAAAATACATCCACAACAAAGGACACACTATAGACCTGGTCACTCAAAAGGAAGAACACCTCATGGAAAGAAATGTTTTTCAAGAATTTGAATGCAACCCAATAGGTTCTACCATCGGTGACAGAATACTCACCAATACATGAAAAATCTGTTCTCATATCATGTTTCTAAGGCATGAAAAGGCAAAGCAACGAAACAACCAAATTAGCCGCTCGTTGGATTAATGTCTTCAAATTGGCGTCAAACATGTGCCATATGTTTCTCTCATCCACTGCCATTTGAATATATAATTTAAAAAATTTGCTCTTTGGGTACATTTTTGTGTGAATTTCTGGTAAATATATTGCCGTTTTGCGGACGCAACCTTTATTTCAGAATTTAAAAAATACTGTTGAGTGTGAGAATGTGGTCTCACATGTAGCAGCCCACACACTTCCCGCTTCGTTCCCCTTTGAGTTTTTAATGTTGATATACAGAATTATCTTGTGTTTTTATGTGTTTTAAGCGTGAGGAAAATGTAAAGAGGCCAAAACGACTGGGTTTTCTGTGAACTGTGCAGGGTTTAAAAACGCCGCCAGTTTGACCAGTTTTTGTACCAGACGCAGGATTATGTTCTCTACAGAGAATTGGTCGCATAGTGAAATTACAGCAATATCAAAGGAGACAATTGGTGAAAAATGGTTCTTTTTAATAGTATCCAAGAGCCTTCTGTACTATATGGGATTGGTTTGGTGACCCTTAACAGAGGGCACACTATAGACCTGACCACTCACAACAGAGGGCACACTATAGACCTGACCACTCACAACAGAGGACACACTATAGACCTGATCATAGAACTCATCAACTGGGGTAGAATTACGGCTCCTTTAATAGTGGTTCATCATGGCACGGCGGCTCTTTCTCGTAGAGCCTGAACGGACCCAGAGGCGTCTGCGTTTTGGACTCTTACTTTCTGTATTTACATGTTTTTACTTTCATTTCATGTTTTTGAAAGTGAAATAATAATAATTTGAGTAGAAAATTTGTGCATCAACGTTTAATGGAATAAGATAGGACTAGGATGAGCAACAGTCACGTTTACTAGAGGAAGTGGAAAACTACTTTTTTGTTCTTATCAGTCACAGACCTGTTGTTTATAGCTCCACACCTGGCCCTTCTGTCTAAAAGCTCAGTCTTCAAACTCGTTACACTGTGATGAATCAGAGTTTCCCACTTCCTCAGTGGCCCTATATGTTTTTATATTTGGCCACGGACAAAAACAGGTTTTAGATCTGCTCCAGTACTGGTCTTGTTTGAATCTGGACCAGACTTGGTTCCGTCCGGGCTCAGACTTGGTCCGGTTCAGGTCCAGTTCAGGTCCAGTGCTGGTCCAGACCTGGGTTTTAGAAAATCATTTAGTTTTTTTTTTCTAGTTGAATTTCTTTTAATGTATTTTAAGTTTTTTGACCGTTTTACCTTGTAGTTGTGGAGGTCTGGACTGGAGCGCAGTTTGGAGCGCGGCATGTCACGGTTATGCACACTGCATGTTTTCACCAAAACCAGGAAAAATATCAAACGTTTATTTATAGCAAGTCTAATTTGTGTAACAATAAACGGACATGAAAATGTGGGGAAAAAATGAAAATTGTACATTAGCATCTGGGCGCTCTCACAGAGGCATGTTGTGACTATTGCGGGCGCCTCCTGATGACATCACATGTGCGACGCAGCGTTTTGAAGTGCTCCCTAAAATGTTTGAGTCTTATTTCCTAGATTGCATCTCAAGTCCAGACCTCCGGGGGGCGCTGTGTAAATGTGCATGTGGTTTTATCGGCTTTCCACAGAGAAGGAGCCAGGCGGCCATTTTGAGTCTATGGAAATTGGTTTAGGAATTCAGTTAAATATAAAGACCGCCCTCAGGCCTGGTTTAGGCCAGGTTTAGACCCCGTTTAGGCTTGGTATAAACCCGGCTCAGACTCAGTCCTGGTCTGAGGGTGGCCTCTCTTTGTCTTGTCTGTTTTTAGTCCAGTTGTTGTGGACTTTGATACTTGAATTTCTTAAACTGTTTAAAATTTAGACAAAAGTAGAAACAAAATAAACACTGGACTGAAACAAGTCTAAGCGTCGTCTTTCACTTCGTTAGTCCTTCTTTAGAACTGCTTTAGGCAATCTCCAGTCCTGGTTCAGACCTGCTTTGTGACAGGTGGCTTGGCTCCGCCTTTATCCTACTTATGCAAATGAGCTTCAGAGCCATGGATTTGAGAGCGGCTCTTTCAGACTGCATCTTTGTGCAGCTCTCACTGTAGCTCTCACTGTAGCTCTCACTGTGTAGCTCTCACTGTAGCTCTTTCTGTGCAGCTCTCACTGTAGCTCTCTCTTCAGCTCTCACTGTAGCTCTTTCTGTGCAGCTCTCTCACTGTAGCTCTCTCGGTAACTTTGTGATTTTGAACCTGCAACAGTCGCAGGTGGGATATTAAAACTGAGGTATGTAACTTCTAAACTGGGCCTCCCTCTCCTCTCTCCCATTACTCCTGATGAGAGGTTGGCTCTCATCTCTCCCCTTTTCTCTCCTCTCTCCTACAGTGATGATGACAGTAATATCATTTTAAAGCATTGTTTTTTTTGGACACTCAAAACCGTTTCACGTCACAACTACTACTGTAGCCACAGCTGCCCTGGGGCAGACTGACAGAAGCGAGGCAACCAGTCTGTGCCGTCAACCCCTTTCACCACCCCGTTCACACACACACACCAGACTCATAATGTGGGTGAAGTGTCTTGCCTAAGGACACAACCACAGTTTGGCACTTTACAGCCGCAGCTGCCCCACTGTGGCACCTGATCTCCTCTCCCTTCCCCTCTCCCCTAACTGCTCTCCTCCCTCCCTCTCTTCTCCACAGATCTGACCTGTCACAGATGGACTCTGAAAAGGCCGTGGTTTTTTCCCGCCGCTCTGGTTGTCTCCAAACGCATCATCAAACACTTCCTGGTCTGCAGCCAATCAGACGCCATCATCGCATAGGCACGAGGTCAGAGGCCACGTGTGGTGGCCCTTTTTAGATCTGCTCCAGTTCTGGTCTTGTTTGAATCTGGACCAGACTTGGTTCCGTCCGGGCTTTTCAGGTCCAGTTCAGGTCCAGTGCTGGTCCAGACCTGGGTTTTAGAAAATCATTTAGTTTTTTTTTTCTAGTTGAATTTCTTTTAATGTATTTTAAGTTTTTTGACCGTTTTACCTCGTAGTTGTGGAGGTCTGGACTGGAGCGCAGTTTGGAGCGCGGCATGTCACGGTTATGCACACTGCATGTTTTCACCAAAACCAGGAAAAATATCAAACGTTTATTTATAGCAAGTCTAATTTGTGTAACAATAAACGGACATGAAAATGTGGGGAAAAAATGAAAATTGTACATTAGCATCTGGGCGCTCTCACAGAGGCATGTTGTGACTATTGCGGGCGCCTCCTGATGACATCACATGTGCGACGCAGCGTTTTGAAGTGCTCCCTAAAATGTTTGAGTCTTATTTCCTAGATTGCATCTCAAGTCCAGACCTCCGGGGGGCGCTGTGTAAATGTGCATGTGGTTTTATCGGCTTTCCACAGAGAAGGAGCCAGGCGGCCATTTTGAGTCTATGGAAATTGGTTTAGGAATTCAGTTAAATATAAAGACCGCCCTCAGGCCTGGTTTAGGCCAGGTTTAGACCCCGTTTAGGCTTGGTATAAACCCGGCTCAGACTCAGTCCTGGTCTGAGGGTGGCCTCTCTTTGTCTTGTCTGTTTTTAGTCCAGTTGTTGTGGACTTTGATACTTGAATTTCTTAAACTGTTTAAAATTTAGACAAAAGTAGAAACAAAATAAACACTGGACTGAAACAAGTCTAAGCGTCGTCTTTCACTTCGTTAGTCCTTCTTTAGAACTGCTTTAGGCAATCTCCAGTCCTGGTTCAGTCCTGCTTTAGACCTCTAGTCCTGGTTCAGACCTGCTTTGTGACAGGTGGCTTGGCTCCGCCTTTATCCTACTTATGCAAATGAGCTTCAGAGCCATGGATTTGAGAGCGGCTCTTTCAGACTGCATCTTTGTGCAGCTCTCACTGTAGCTCTCTCTTCAGCTCTCACTGTGTAGCTCTCACTGTAGCTCTTTCTGTGCAGCTCTCGCACTGTAGCTCTCTCTTCAGCTCTCACTGTAGCTCTTTCTGTGCAGCTCTCTCACTGTAGCTCTCTCGGTAACTTTGTGATTTTGAACCTGCAACAGTCGCAGGTGGGATATTAAAACTGAGGTATGTAACTTCTAAACTGGGCCTCCCTCTCCTCTCTCCCATTACTCCTGATGAGAGGTTGGCTCTCATCTCTCCCCTTTTCTCTCCTCTCTCCTACAGTGATGATGACAGTAATATCATTTTAAAGCATTGTTTTTTTTGGACACTCAAAACCGTTTCACGTCACAACTACTACTGTAGCCACAGCTGCCCTGGGGCAGACTGACAGAAGCGAGGCAACCAGTCTGTGCCGTCAACCCCTTTCACCACCCCGTTCACACACACACACCAGACTCATAATGTGGGTGAAGTGTCTTGCCTAAGGACACAACCACAGTTTGGCACTTTACAGCCGCAGCCGCCCCACTGTGGCACCTGATCTCCTCTCCCTTCCCCTCTCCCCTAACTGCTCTCCTCCCTCCCTCTCTTCTCCACAGATCTGACCTGTCACAGATGGACTCTGAAAAGGCCGTGTTGCTCGCCACCGGCTCAGTGTTTTTTCCCGCCGCTCTGGTTGTCTCCAAACGCATCATCAAACACTTCCTGGTCTGCAGCCAATCAGACGCCATCATCGCAGGCACGAGGTCAGAGGCCACGTGTTTATCATTTTATAGTTTATATTATGAGTCCCTCTAGGACAGGGGTGCTCAATACGTCGATCGCGATCTACCGGTCGATCGCAAAGGTAGTATTGGTAGATCGCATTAAATAAATGAAAAAATTACACATTCTAAACAAATATATACAAAAAACTCCGGGCAAAGTGGAGATTTTTGAAAACTCTGTTAATGCATTTGTGTGTAGTCAGAGATAACCGGAGTTTTGCGTTCTCGCACGCCACAGTACCCCCCTAAATTCCTCTGATCACTGAAGCATGGATCATACTACCTTAAAAACTGTTCGCTGTGAGATGCTCGCAGCAGCGAACATCCTCGCTCCACATCAGAGAGCAGCAAAGTGATCGCGGGGACTCACGCTCGAAAACAACCAAACCAGGACTAAACCAGGACTAAACCAGGACTAAACCAGGGCTGAGGACGGGGTCAGTGCTTGTAAACATACGTCTTTACTCTGAGTGTCTTCTATGACTGTAAAAGTGCCGTTACCGGCGTCTGCATCAAAGCTCCGCCCACTTCTGTGTTTTTCCCCAACGCAGGACAGGACGTAAGAGACGCACATGTTTGGAATGTTACGAACGTGACTGATAACGCAGATGTGTGGATGCAAATTATTTTATAAACGGAGGAGGGGAAATATTTGGATTTAAAAAAAATAGGCATGGCACATGGACATGGCACCACAGTCAAATGACATCTGTGTTTTACTCAGTAATGTTTTACTGACACTTAGGTGACTGCACATGCGCAAACAACCGCGCTCAGTGCAGGAAAGCTAAAGCACGACAAACTTGTCAGCGAGTTACCACCAATTTTCCGGACTATGCATCCCTGGCCGATTCAATTCAGTGCAAGTCATAAGAGTAAACTCGGGTAATGACAAAAAATGTACATAGGTAATTGTGTTGTGTTGTGCTATATTGGCTCATGCGGTTTTGCATGTACATAAACATACATTGTAGGTATACAGAATATTTTTTGAAATAAATATATGATTTGCATTTTTGTAGTAGGTAGATCATTTTGACTTGATCCTTTTATAAGTAGCTCGCATGCTGAAAAAGTGTGAGCACCCCTGCTCTAGGATTTCGCAGCCAATTGTGAGAGTTGGAGCTAAAATGCTGGATTTTTTTGGGACATTTTTTCATAAGTTGCAATGGCAAGTTACAATATATCCCCTGTGAAAAACAAATTATTATTCAAATATAAATGCACAAATAACCTAAATCCTTGCTTATTTACATAAAGAAAGATATGATTTTGTCAACAACTGCTCTTTTTAGCTTATATACACTGTAGGAATAACATCGATGCACTTGGAACAAAGTGTATCCAGCTCTCATGAAGCGACGCCGGGTCCTGCTTTGCTCGGTCCTTTGCCGATATGTTTGTAGTAAATGTGAATGATTTCTGTCACATGTCGCCGCTGTGTTTCTCCCGACACAGTCTGAAGCCGTACGTGCAGCTTGTGTCACCTGTTTCCACCCTGAACACAAACGCAGACGGGCCGTCCTCCAACATCAAGGGATAAAACTGCCACATGCTACGTATTTGTTTCTGGAAAGTTCTGGAAAATTTGCGAAATCAGAAGAAGTTGCAAGGTTGTACTGATATCGCAGGATTTGCTTGATTTTGCGTTAATTGTTCTGGAGGGACTGATGTGTTTTTTTGTCCAAGTCTTTTGGACACAAGACGCTTTACGGGGATAGGCTCATGTTAGCTCACTGTTAGCTCACTGGTAGCTGATGTTAGCTCGCAGTTAGCTTATGTAAAGCTCATATAAGCTCACAGTTAGCTCATGTTAGGTTGGAGTTAGCTCAAAATTAGCACAGGTCAGCTCCTGTTAGCTCACAGTTAGCTCCATGTTTCAGGTTGGTCTCTGCACTTCAGTCGGTCTTAGCGTCGGTCGCAGGTTTCGTCATCGTGTCTTCGTGCTCAGACCTCGTCCACGATCGGTCAGTGCCACTCTCATGTTTTCTGTTATGTAGGAAAAAGCCCTGAGAGTCACTCTCTGACTCTTTGAGCTGATTGGCTGAGAGAGGGAGGTCCTCTCTGTCTTACTTTTCTTTTTGAAAAAGCTGATCTAAAGATGTGACAGACGCCAGAATGCACATGATGTAAATGACGGACCCAGACCCAGACCAGGACCAGGACCAAGACCAAGACCAGTGATAGTGGTCTGAAAGTCACATACCCCAGCTTTAATGTCCTGTACCCCAGTTTGAATGTTACATATTCCAGGTTTAAAGTTACATACCTCAGCTTTAATATCAAATCTCAGTCATGAGTGACTGGTCTCAGCTGAGATTTCATAAACAAATGAGACCTGATTTGACTGTAAAAACAGAGGACGTCTCCATGGAGACAGGACCCATGTGTATCAGTCCCATGTGGACTGGACCCATGTGTATCAGACCGGACCCATGTGTATCAGACCGGACCCATGTGTATCAGACCGGACCCATGTGTATCAGACCGGACCCATGTGTATCAGACCGGACCCATGTGTATCAGACCGGACCCATGTGGACCGGACCCGACCCATGTTTACCTGATCCATGTGGACCGGACCCATGTGGACCCGCCTCGACCCGACCCAACCCATGTGGACCAGACCCATGTGGACCGGACCCATGTGGACCAGACCTACTGTTGCCACGGTAACCTGACCCCTCGCTCTCTGCAGACACTTCCTCGCTGACGCCTACGTCCTGTTCGCGACGCCCTACTTCCTGTATGACATCATTGCCATGTTCCTATGCCACCGTGCCAAAGGTCGGGGGGCGGGGCCAGGCGGCACGTGCAGCGATCTGATTGGATACCTGCAAAAGGAGGCGTTACTTGTGGCACATCACCTGTTCATCGCTGTGTTCTGTTTCCCTCTGACTGTGGTGAGAAGCTCCGCCCCCAGTGTGAGAAGCCCCGCCCCCTAGTCCCCGTCTGCAGTCAGAGTTCCCTGTTACTTCCTACAATGCCACCAGAGGGAGCAGCGTCTGCAGTCAGAGCTCACCGTAACTCCCTTTGCTGCCACCACAGGAAGCTGTGAATGTTATACTGTTATACACAACTATTGTCAAACGGGTGAATTTATCTTTGCGTAAATTGTTTGATCTGTAATTTGTGTGTGTGAGTCTCTTTGTGTCTGTGTGTGTACGTGGGTGGGTCTCTAACTCTATCTGTGTGTGTCTCTCTCTCTTTCTGTGTGTGTCTCTTTTTCTGTGCGTGTCTCTCTCTTTCTGTGTGTGTGTCTCTCTCTTTCTGTGTGTGTGTCTCTCTCTCTTTCTGTGTGTGTGTCTGTATGTGTGCATGTGTGTCTCTCTCTGTGTGTGTGTGTGTGTCTGTCTGTATGTGTGTGTCTGTGTGAATGTGTGTGTGTGTCTGTCTGTGTGTGTGTTTAGTTTTATCGTGGTCCTCGGGGAGATTACTTCGTGGGTCTTCTTCTGCTGCCAGAGCTCAGTACTCCGCTGCTGTGTTTGGGGAAGCTCCTGCTCCAGGTGAGCGCCCCCTGTGGACACAGACATGTACTGTCTAGAGCTGACTCCCTCAGGCTCAGGAGGATTAGAGCTGACTCCCTCAGGCTCAGGAGGATTAGAGCTGACTCTCTCAGGCTCAGGAGGATTAGAGCTGACTCCCTCAGGCTCAGGAGGATTAGAGCTGACTCCCTCAGGCTCAGGAGGATTAGAGCTGACTCTCTCAGGCTCAGGAGGATTAGAGCTGACTCTCTCAGGCTCAGGAGGATTAGAGCTGACTCTCTCAGGCTCAGGAGGATTAGAGCTGACTCTCTCAGGCTCAGGAGGATTAGAGCTGACTCCCTCAGGCTCAGGAGGATTAGAGCTGACTCCCTCAGGCTCAGGAGGATTAGAGCTGACTCAGGTTATTTACTGCTAAAGGGACAGAAGGCTCCTGATTGGTCAGTCCTTATGTGGCTCATATCTGGATTTACAAAGGTCACAACATAAACCAGAATCAGAGGGCGCTAATCCAGACAAGCCTTCAGGTCCTTCTGCTTCAAACAGTTAAACGTTGAAATATTCCAAATGGGCGTGTCTGTTTCAGTTCCATCTTCAGGACAGTGTTTGGTTCAAAGTGAACGCTCTCCTGACGATCACCACTTTCTTCTGCTGCAGAGTTCTGCTGTTTCCCTACATGTACTACAGCTACAGCCGGTACTGCAAATACTACGGCCCACTATATACTATATACTCTATACTATTTATCACCTTTAAAATTATGTGTGTCTGTCTCTCTGTGTGTTTGTGTGTGTGCAGTTACAGTGGTCTCCCACTCCTCTCTGTGCTCTCTAGCGCCCCCTGGCAGTGTAACGTGGGTGCGGCGCTGCTCTGGTCCTTGCAGTTGTACTGGTTTGTGCTGTTGTGTCGAGCTGCAGTACGCTCTGTGACCAGAGGGGGGCGCCACACACACACAGGTGAGACAGATTCTGCTCATCCACACAGAGAAGGACCCCTAGAGGAACACAAGGGTATTACATGCACTTGGACCCCTAGAGGAACACAAGGGTATTGCGCCAGGACTCTCAAACTTTGATACAAAAATAAATAGGGGGTACTATGGCATGTTATACATTATTTAAAAAGTAATTTTATCGAGGAATCAATCATGTACTGTCTTGAACCTACATGACAATAATAATAAAAACTAGTCCATCAGGCGAACAAGCCTTTTTTTACTTTTGGTCCAGTTTTGGTTCAGTCCGTTAAAGACTACAGACTCTCTTGGCCAACATCATCCATTATGTTATGTATATAACAAACATGTATTGCAGCTATATGGAACATTGTTGTGGTTTTCTCTGTTCAAATACTGCCCTCTTCTGGTGATATGAGCAAAGCCACTCACTGCTGCCCCTTGTGTCCACAGGGAGCATCACAGGAGACGGGACCAAGACGAAGCACTTGGACTGAAACAAGCTTTTTACACTTTTGACTTTTATATAAAACATATTTATGAAGTTTTTTATCACATTTGCAAATGAGTGTTTTTTATGTTAGAAGTAGAAATCAATTTAAGTCTAAAGTGGAGCGATCTAACTGAAGGTTCTTCACTCATGTTCTGTGTTCATTACATACACTGTATACAGATGCTAATGCTAACACAGACTGTATACAGATGCTAATGCTAACACAGACTGTATACAGATGCTAATGCTAACACAGACTGTATACAGATGCTAATGCTAACACAGACTGTATACAGATGGACAATGCTAACACAGACTGTATACAGATGCTAATGCTAACACAGACTGTATACAGATGCTAATGCTAACAGACTGTATACAGATGCTAATGCTAACACAGACTGTATACAGATGCTAATGCTAACACAGACTGTATACAGATGCTAATGCTAACACAGACTGTATACAGATGCTAATGCTAACACAGACTGTATACAGATGCTAATGCTAACACAGACTGTATACAGATGCTAATGCTAACACAGACTGTATACAGATGCTAATGCTAACACAGACTGTATACAGATGCTAATGCTAACACAGACTGTATACAGATGCTAATGCTAACACAGACTGTATACAGATGCTAATGCTAACACAGACTGTATACAGATGCTAATGCTAACACAGACTGTATACAGATGGACAATGCTAACACAGACTGTATACAGATGCTAATGCTAACACAGACTGTATACAGATGCTAATGCTAACACAGACTGTATACAGATGCTAATGCTAACACAGACTGTATACAGATGGACAATGCTAACACAGACTGTATACAGATGCTAATGCTAACACAGACTGTATACAGATGCTAATGCTAACACAGACTGTATACAGATGCTAATGCTAACACAGACTGTATACAGATGGACAATGCTAACACAGACTGTATACAGATGCTAATGCTAACACAGACTGTATACAGATGCTAATGCTAACACAGACTGTATACAGATGCTAATGCTAACACAGACTGTATACAGATGCTAATGCTAACACAGACTGTATACAGATGCTAATGCTAACACAAACTGTATACAGATGCTAATCTGTATACAGATGCTAATGCTAACACAGACTGTATACAGATGGACAATGCTAACACAGACTGTATACAGATGCTAATGCTAACACAGACTGTATACAGATGCTAATGCTAACACAGACTGTATACAGATGCTAATGCTAACACAGACTGTATACAGATGCTAATGCTAACACAGACTGTATACAGATGCTAATGCTAACACAGACTGTATACAGATGCTAATGCTAACACAGACTGTATACAGATGCTAATGCTAACACAGACTGTATACAGATGCTAATGCTAACACAGACTGTATACAGATGCTAATGCTAACACAGACTGTATACAGATGCTAATGCTAACACAGACTGTATACAGATGCTAATGCTAACACAGACTGTATACAGATGCTAATGCTAACACAAACTGTATACAGATGCTAATCTGTATACAGATGCTAATGCTAACACAGACTGTATACAGATGGACAATGCTAACACAGACTGTATACAGATGCTAATGCTAACACAGACTGTATACAGATGCTAATGCTAACACAGACTGTATACAGATGGACAATGCTAACACAGACTGTATACAGATGGACAATGCTAACACAGACTGTATACAGATGGACAATGCTAACACAGACTGTATACAGATGGACAATGCTAACACAGACTGTATACAGATGGACAATGCTAACACAGACTGTATACAGATGGACAATGCTAACACAGACTGTATACAGATGGACAATGCTAACACAGACTGTATACAGATGGACAATGCTAACACAGACTGTATACAGATGGACAATGCTAACACAGACTGTATACAGATGGACAATGCTAACACAGACTGTATACAGATGGACAATGCTAACACAGACTGTATACAGATGGACAATGCTAACACAGACTGTATACACCTTCTCTTCTGTATATACCAAGGGTCTCCAACCTAATTCACATGGAGAGTTTTCTTAAAACTAACTTGAAAGATTTCATAGCTTTAGGTACTCTGTTTAAGCCGTTGGAAATTTTTTAATTGAACAGTGGGAGAGCTTAGACTAGGTACTGTTACTATCAACAGTCATTATTTCTAATGTTTGTTTTAATACGGTGAATTATTAGGGTCTAAAATGACCCAGGGCTGGTCATGTTTTTTGGGGGAGCCCAAGCTCACAAACTTACCGACATCCATACGACCGCATAGAAACTTACCGACATCCATACGACCGCATAGAAACTTACCGACATCCATACGACCGCATAGAAACTTACCGACATCCATACGACCGCATAGAAACTTACCGACATCCATACGACCGCATAGAAACTTACCGACATCCATACGACCGCATAGAAACTTACCGACATCCATACGACCGCATAGAAACTTACCGACATCCATACGACCGCATAGAAACTTACCGACATCCATACGACCGCATAGAAACTTACCGACATCCATACGACCGCATAGAAACTTACCGACATCCATACGACCGCATAGAAACTTACCGACATCCATACGACCGCATAGAAAACTTACCGACATCCATACGACCGCATAGAAACTTACCGACATCCATACGACCGCATAGAAACTTACCGACATCCATACGACCGCATAGAAACTTACCGACATCCATACGACCGCATAGAAACTTACCGACATCCATACGACCGCATAGAAACTTACCGACATCCATACGACCGCATAGAAACTTACCGACATCCATACGACCGCATAGAAACTTACCGACATCCATACGACCGCATAGAAACTTACCGACATCCATACGACCGCATAGAAACTTACCGACATCCATACGACCGCATAGAAACTTACCGACATCCATACGACCGCATAGAAACTTACCGACATCCATACGACCGCATAGAAACTTACCGACATCCATACGACCGCATAGAAACTTACCGACATCCATACGACCGCATAGAAACTTACCGACATCCATACGACCGCATAGAAACTTACCGACATCCATACGACCGCATAGAAACTTACCGACATCCATACGACCGCATAGAAACTTACCGACATCCATACGACCGCATAGAAACGGGGATTTTACTACCAGCTCATGAAGCTCCGCCCACTTCCAAGCTCTGGTGACGTCACTCGTGTGGATGGAGCAAAACACAGCTGCAGGTCTGACACAAACACCCTACCATCACTCTCTTCCATTTCTACAGTACTTCCTTAATTTTTGCACATAATCATATTTAAACATTGTTTTATGTATTCAGGGTTGTATAAATACTTATATAAATACTTAACTTAAACTGTATATTGGACTTAGCTAAACATCGCGAGACCAGCAGCGGAGCATAGCGAGATTCCCGTGCAGCAGGCGTCTTCAGATTTAGCAACAAAAACAAAAACAAGCCCGAGGAGGAACGCGCGTCTGTCCGTGAGCCTGGAGCCTAGCGGGACCTATGGAGCGGCTGTACCCTGGGGAGGACCTCTGTGGGCCGGCCTCTACTCTGCAGGTACGCCGCTGTTTTCTCCAGCGTGAAGCCAGGCTCAAAGAGGAGAGGGACGAGCCGAGGCTAGTGAGCCGATGCTAACACGGAGCTAACGAGACTCGTCACAGGCCGAAAGGCTAGAGCGCGGGGGCTGTTGCCGTGGTGACCGTGGAGGCCATCTTGTGTTTTCAGGAAAGGAGAGATGCTAACGACTAATCAACTAAAAGGGGGCGTGTCAGAAGCTTTAAAATCTATTTCACTAAACATTTAAAGTAAACCAAAGCTTTACTCACAACTTGGAATTGAATAAAAAACTGGAAAATAGGTATACACATAAATATTTAGAAATAAATATATTTATTAAACTTACATTTGTTCCCATTTACAGGATTTGTTTTATATGTAATTGTCTACAAAGTAGTGTTATCTTTGAGAAAAGTTTCTCTGTTTGAAAACACAAAACATTTCTCCAATGTGCTAGGCACTTGATTTAGAAGATTTAGAAAAAAGAATATTTCACGTTTTTTATGCAATTTAAAAATTCTGGATTTCACTACCACAAAAAATGGGACTCATCTTGCAGCAAAAATCATAATTCATATAACGTTTATTTGTATGTTCATGCAATATAGCAGAATAATTAAAGTAGATTAAGTGACATTCACTGAACATTCTGAAATTGCAGTATTACTCATTGCACATGATTGCGGTATTTAATAAAAAAAAAAAAAAGAAATGCTCAGGCTCAGCAGCATCATTGTACAGTCTGACAGCAGCAGGAAGGAAATACCTGTGGTACACAGAGAGGGTGGATCAGTCTGTCACTGAAACGGCTCTCTAAAGCAGACAGTGTCCTGCAGGGGTCGACAGTCCTGGTCCAGCATAGATGTTAATTTGTCCAGGACCATCTTGTTTGTTGTTGCCATTTCTTATTTCAGATGAGCATTTAAGAGTCATTGGCTGGTTAAGGTTATGGTTAGGGATAAGGCAAGGGTTAGCTTGCAGAATGAAATAGATTTGAGGGGGTCCGGTTGAACACTTATCGCACACCAGCAAAGAGTTAAAAAATAAACGTAATACATGAAATGGCCAATGTCTCAAAATTAACAAATAATTAAATCATTGTTGAAAATCAGCTGAAATACACACTAGATTAGAAGTGGTTAATTCAAGCTTTCTTCACAATAATAGTGCATAAATCGCACTGCTATTTGCTGTTCGTTTCCACCACAACAGGACGGAGATGTTACGATCGTGTTTCCATGGCGACGCTCGCTCTAGCTCCGCGTGTGCCGTTAGCCGTTAGCACCGTTAGCTCCCTTCGCTGACGTTGGTAGGCTCCGTGCCGTGAGCAGGGGCCGGGGACTGGGGGCAGCCTCTCCGGGGACAGAGGACAGTGTCTCCCGGGAACATGGGCCTGGGTCAGGGGCTGTGGTCCACTGCGGGGCCGTGGGAGAGGTGCTGCCGTTAGCACCAGTCTGCGTCAGTTAGACTTGTTTAGAAACACTAGGAAACTTATTCTAGTTTAAACAACAATAATGTGAAGTATATTTCAAAATCACTGCTGTGCATTTAGTACAAATATGTGGGTATAATTATACGTGCCAAATGTACAGAAGGAAAATGATCACTTGATGATTTAAAGCTGGGGTACGTTGCTCTGAAACCCAAAAAAATGCAACTCCGTAATAGACCCGTGTCTCTGGTTTCTGGCTCTACAAACATAAACTAGCATAACATTTGCATCTATCACTAGTTTTTACAATATGTATTTATGGTCCATCACATCTTTAGATGGTTTTTTCAGACAGAAAAGTGTAAAAGAGAGGACCACCCTCACTCATCCAAAAGGTCAAATAGTGACTCACAGGGCTCACTTACACAATATATGTTTTTGTTAATGAGATGAAGACAGCATGTTGTGGTCTGATTTGTTCATTTGACTTTACATGTGTTATTTATGAGAGGGAGCAGCGTCTGAAGCCAGAGCTGTATCAGATTGTAGAGATATTGTGAGGAGCTCGGAATAGAGCCATTGCTGCATGTCCCAGGGGGAAGAGACCCAGGATAGACCCAGGAAACTCTGAAGGGACTATGTCAGTTTTTCTTCAGATTAGCTGGAGGAAGTGTGTGTGTTTGCGGAGACTTCTGCCCTCACGACCCGGCCATGGATAAAGGCTCTCTGGTCTCTCTCTGGTCTCTCTCTGGTCTCCCTCTGGTCTCCTTTTGGTCTCTCTCTGGTCTCCTTTTGGTCTCTCTCTGGTCTCTCTCTAGTCTCTCTCTGGTCTCTCTCTGGTCTCTCTCTGGTCTCTCTCTGGTCTCTCTCTGGTCTCCCTCTGGTCTCCTTTTGGTCTCTCTCTGGTCTCCTTTTGGTCTCTCTCTGGTCTCTCTCTGGTCTCTCTCTGGTCGCTCTCTGGTCTCTCTCTGGTCTCTCTCTCTCTGGTCTCCCTCTGGTCTCCTTTTGGTCTCTCTCTGGTCTCTCTCTGGTCCCTCTCTGGTCTCTCTCTCTGGTCTCTCTCTGGTCTCTCTCTCTGGTCTCTCTCTGGTCTCTCTCTGGTCTCTCTCTGGTCTCTCTCTGGTCCCTCTCTGGTCTCTCTCTCTGGTCTCTCTCTGGTCTCTCTCTCTGGTCTCTCTCTGGTCTCTCTCTCTGGTCTCTCTCTGGTCTCTCTCTGGTCTCTCTCTCTGGTCTCTCTCTGGTCTCTCTCTCTGGTCTCTCTCTGGTCTCCCTCTCTGGTCCCTCTCTGGTCTCTCTCTCTGGTCTCTCTCTGGTCTCTCTCTCTGGTCTCTCTCTGGTCTCTCTCTCTGGTCTCTCTCTGGTCTCCCTCTCTGGTCTCTCTCTGGTCTCTCTCTGGTCCCTCTCTGGTCTCTCTCTGGTCTCTCTCTCTGGTCTCTCTCTGGTCTCTCTCTGGTCTCTCTCTCTGGTCTCTCTCTGGTCTCTCTCTGGTCTCTCTCTGGTCTCTCTCTGGTCTCTCTCTCTGGTCTCTCTCTCTGGTCTCTCTCTGGTCTCTCTCTCTGGTCTCTCTCTGGTCTCTCTCTCTGGTCTCTCTCTGGTCTCTCTCTGGCCTCTCTCTGGCCTCTCTCTGGTCTCTCTCTGGTCTCTCTCTGGTCTCTCTCTCTGGTCTCTCTCTGGTCTCTCTCTGGTCTCTCTCTGGTCTCTCTCTCTGGTCTCTCTCTGGTCTCTCTCTGGTCTCTCTCTGGTCTCTCTCTGGTCTCTCTCTGGTCTCTCTCTGGTCTCTCTCTGGTCTCTCTCTCTGGTCTCCCTCTGGTCTCTCTCTCTGGTCTCCCTCTGGTCTCCCTCTGGTCTCTCTCTGGTCTCTCTCTGGTCTCTCTCTGGTCTCTCTCTGGTCTCTCTCTGGTCTCTCTCTGGTCTCTCTCTGGTCTCTCTCTCTGGTCCCTCTCTGGCCTCTCTCTGGTCTCTCTCTCTGGCCTCTCTCTGGTCCCTCTCTGGTCCCTCTCTGGTCTCTCTCTGGTCTCTCTCTGGTCTCTCTCTGGCCTCTCTCTGGTCTCTCTCTGGTCTCTCTCTGGTCTCTCTCTGGTCCCTCTCTGGTCTCTCTCTGGTCTCTCTCTGGTCTCTCTCTGGTCCCTCTCTGGTCCCTCTCTGGTCCCTCTCTGGTCCCTCTCTGGTCTCTCTCTGGTCTCTCTGGTCCCTCTCTGGTCTCTCTCTGGTCCCTCTCTGGTCTCTCTCTCTGGTCTCTCTCTGGTCTCTCTCTCTGGTCTCTCTCTGGTCTCTCTCTGGTCTCTCTCTGGTCCCTCTCTGGTCTCTCTCTCTGGTCTCTCTCTGGTCTCTCTCTCTGGTCTCTCTCTGGTCTCTCTCTCTGGTCTCTCTCTGGTCTCTCTCTGGTCTCTCTCTCTGGTCTCTCTCTGGTCTCTCTCTCTGGTCTCTCTCTGGTCTCCCTCTCTGGTCCCTCTCTGGTCTCTCTCTCTGGTCTCTCTCTGGTCTCTCTCTCTGGTCTCTCTCTGGTCTCTCTCTCTGGTCTCTCTCTGGTCTCCCTCTCTGGTCTCTCTCTGGTCTCTCTCTGGTCTCTCTGGTCCCTCTCTGGTCTCTCTGGTCCCTCTCTGGTCTCTCTCTGGTCTCTCTCTCTGGTCTCTCTCTGGTCTCTCTCTGGTCTCTCTCTCTGGTCTCTCTCTGGTCTCTCTCTGGTCTCTCTCTGGTCTCTCTCTGGTCTCTCTCTCTGGTCTCTCTCTCTGGTCTCTCTCTGGTCTCTCTCTCTGGTCTCTCTCTGGTCTCTCTCTCTGGTCTCTCTCTGGTCTCTCTCTGGCCTCTCTCTGGCCTCTCTCTGGTCTCTCTCTGGTCTCTCTCTGGTCTCTCTCTGGTCTCTCTCTCTGGTCTCTCTCTGGTCTCTCTCTGGTCTCTCTCTGGTCTCTCTCTCTGGTCTCTCTCTGGTCTCTCTCTGGTCTCTCTCTGGTCTCTCTCTGGTCTCTCTCTGGTCTCTCTCTGGTCTCTCTCTCTGGTCTCTCTCTCTGGTCTCTCTCTGGTCTCTCTCTCTCTCTCTGGTCTCTCTCTGGTCTCTCTCTCTGGTCTCTCTCTGGTCTCTCTCTGGCCTCTCTCTGGCCTCTCTCTGGTCTCTCTCTGGTCTCTCTCTGGTCTCTCTCTTTGGTCTCTCTCTGGTCTCTCTCTCTGGTCTCTCTCTGGTCTCTCTCTGGCCTCTCTCTGGCCTCTCTCTGGTCTCTCTCTGGTCTCTCTGGTCTCTCTCTGGTCTCTCTCTGGTCTCTCTCTCTGGTCTCTCTCTCTGGTCTCTCTCTCTGGTCTCTCTCTGGTCTCTCTCTGGTCTCTCTCTGGCCTCTCTCTGGTCTCTCTCTGGCCTCTCTCTGGCCTCTCTCTGGTCTCTCTCTGGCCTCTCTCTGGCCTCTCTCTGGTCTCTCTCTCTGGTCTCTCTCTGGTCTCTCTCTTTGGTCTCTCTCTGGTCTCTCTCTCTGGTCTCTCTCTGGTCTCTCTCTGGCCTCTCTCTGGCCTCTCTCTGGTCTCTCTCTGGTCTCTCTGGTCTCTCTCTGGTCTCTCTCTGGTCTCTCTCTCTGGTCTCTCTCTCTGGTCTCTCTCTGGTCTCTCTCTGGTCTCTCTCTGGCCTCTCTCTGGTCTCTCTCTGGCCTCTCTCTGGCCTCTCTCTGGTCTCTCTCTGGCCTCTCTCTGGCCTCTCTCTGGTCTCTCTCTGGTCTCTCTCTGGCCTCTCTCTGGTCTCTCTCTCTGGTCTCTCTCTGGCCTCTCTCTGGTCTCTCTCTGGCCTCTCTCTGGCCTCTCTCTGGTCTCTCTCTGGCCTCTCTCTGGTCTCTCTCTGGTCTCTCTCTGGTCTCTCTCTGGTCTCTCTCTGGTCTCTCTCTGGTCTCTCTCTGGTCTCTCTCTGGTCTCTCTCTGGTGCTAAATCTATGGCATTTGTGCTTCCTCTTATCCTTGCTTTTCTGTTTTTCAGGACCAGTTTAAGTCTGAATAAAGCATGTGACTCCACATGTGGACGCCATGGATATCTCGACCAATCACAGCGAGTCAATCGCCAATGTCACCGTCCAATCGAGATCAAGGATAGACACGTGACATCACTGGACTCTCGCACTGTGAAACCGCCGCAGCCACTTCAGACTGAACCGCAAACATTTCACCATTTTTGTTTTGGCGGCCATTTTGAATGTTTTGACTGAAATAATTACATTTTTGGGACAATTTTCCTTTTAAAATTCATGATTAATTTTTACTGAGGAATGAACAAAAAGTCTGAGATTTCACTATTTACTTGTGTTTTGCCTTTGATGTTGTTTTGGCCGACCACGTGAGAAGGAAACTGGTCATAATTTCACGTTCTCGATTACGATGTGGGACACGGAGGATTGAGCGACGTTCTGGTATCGACGCCACGATGAAGCGTCTGTGAAAAGAGCTGCGCGACTTTGGTAAGATATATTTATTATTTAAAAGTTACTGTTTTTAAAGAGTCGAGTTCTGTAGTGGTTTTATTTATTTTTTTTAAAGCTGGGGTACTTGACTTTGAGACCACATCAATAGAACTCTACAACAGTTTGTTTCCAACACTAGTTTTCGCATCACGTATTTCTAGCTTTTTCAGACAGAAATGTGTAATCAGCTCTGAGCCCAAAGAGTCAAATAGTGACTCATAGGGCTCTTTCTTTACGCAGAAAATAACATATTTAATGATATAAAGACAGCATGTTATGGTGTGAGTTGTTCATTTTACTCTTATGGGTTTACTCTACATGAAGGATGATAATAATAATAATGCACTTTAAATATGTTAAAGCAGGTTAAAAACACAAAACATCAGAATAAAAGCTTGACAAAAATAAATAAAAAGCCTACATCTGCAGAGGCCTTTCCGAACAGTGCAGGTCTGAGTCGAAACTTACGTACCCCAGCTTTAAAGAGACTGCTTATGTTTACCGTTACCTTTAGCATTAGCATTAGCATTAGTATGTGACATTAACATGAAGCCTAACTCAGCTCCTCCCCTCAGTTGGTGATTGGGCGAGATGAACGGCGCTCTGCTGACTCCTCCCAGCCCACGCGCGGCCGGCTCCTCCCCGCTGCCTCCCTCGCCCTCCCCCTCCCCTCCCTCCCCCTCCTTGCTACCCCTGATACCCCGCCCCTCCCCGCTGACCCCTCCCACTCTGTCGGACACGCCCACGCCGTCACCCTCGCCGTGCCTGAGCTGGACGGACTTCTGCGAGCTGCATGCGCGCGCGGCGGCGGGCGACTTTGCGCGTCACTTCCGGGCGTTCCTCCTGGAGAACCCGCACTACTCCAGCGACTCGGCCACTGCCTTCTGCCGCCGCTTCACCGACCGCTTTGTGCGATACTTCCAGAGCGAGCTGCAGGGGGCGCCAGCGAGCAGCACAGCCAGCCGCGATGAGACGGTGAGCACAGCACACACAGCTCCTGTTTCTCCTTCTCTCCTCTTTCCTCCCCTTCTCTTCTCCCCTCTCCTTCTCTCCTCTCTTCTACCCTTTTCTCCTCTCTCCTCCCTTCTTCTCTCTCCTCCCTGTCTCTTCTGTCTCCTCCTCTCTCCACTCTCCCCTATCTCTTCTCTTCTCCTTCATAACTCTTTTCTTCTCTCCTTCCCTTCTCTCTTCTCTCCCGTCTCTCCTCCTTGCCCTCTCTCCTCCTTCCTCTCTTCCGTCTCTCCTCCTCCCCTCTCTTCTCCCGTCTCTCCTCCTTGCCCTCTCTCCTCCTTCCTCTCTCCCATCTCTCCTCCTTGCCCTCTCTCCTCCTTCCTCTCTCCCATCTCTCCTCCTTGCCCTCTCTCCTCCTTCCCCTCTCTCCTCCTTCCTCACTCCTCCTCTCTCTCTTCAGCTCTGCTCCTGGGCTCCTCAGTCTGATGCCACATCTCTGGATGAAGATGAGGCTCTGTCGCCGCTGTGCTCGGCCGCTCCTCGCGTGGTGTCGAAGCCGCCGTGTAGCTCCGCCCCCACGCAGCCCGCCTCCTCCTCCTCCTCCTGCTGCTCCTCTGTGGGCGGGAACAACGGGAGGCGCATGCTCAACAACGGTGCTGTGGCCGCGGAGGAGCGAGAGGAGCGCGAGGACGAAGCATGGGTACGATCCACGTCTGCGGGAGAGGAGGTGCTGGAGCAGGAGGACAGCAGCTCGCTCAACCACAACAGGTCTGCAACTGTTAGCTTAATCCTCATGGAGCTGTGTGTGTTAGCTCTGAAGGTGCCATGTCCTCAGTTCTAAAGGTGCCATGTCCTCAGTTCTGAAGGTGCCATGTCCTCAGTTCTAAAAGTGCCATGTCCTCAGTTCTGAAGGTGCCATGTCCTCAGTTCTGAAGGTGCCATGTCCTCAGTTCTGAAGGTGCCATGTCCTCAGTTCTGAAGGTGCCATGTCCTCAGTTCTGAAGGTGCCATGTCCTCAGTTCTGAAGGTGCCATGTCCTCAGTTCTGAAGGTGCCATGTCCTCAGTTCTGAAGGTGCCATGTCCTCAGTTCTGAAGGTGCCATGTCCTCAGTTCTGAAGGTGCCATGTCCTCAGTTCTGAAGGTGCCATGTCCTCAGTTCTGAAGGTGCCATGTCCTCAGTTCTGAAGGTGCCATGTCCTCAGTTCTGAAGGTGCCATGTCCTCAGTTCTGAAGGTGCCATGTCCTCAGTTCTGAAGGTGCCATGTCCTCAGTTCTGAAGGTGCCATGTCCTCAGTTCTGAAGGTGCCATGTCCTCAGTTCTGAAGGTGCCATGTCCTCAGTTCTGAAGGTGCCATGTCCTCAGTTCTGAAGGTGCCATGTCCTCAGTTCTGAAGGTGCCATGTCCTCAGTTCTGAAGGTGCCATGTCCATGTCAGTTCTGAAGGTGCCATGTCCTCAGTTCTGAAGGTGCCATGTCCTCAGTTCTGAAGGTGCCATGTCCTCAGTTCTGAAGGTGCCATGTCCTCAGTTCTAAATGTGCCATGTCCTCAGTTCTAAATGTGCCATGTCCTCAGTTCTAAATGTGCTATGTCCTCAGTTCTAAATGTGCCATGTCCTCAGTTCTAAATGTGCTATGTCCTCAGTTCTAAATGTGCCATGTCCTCAGTTCTAAATGTGCTATGTCCTCAGTTCTAAATGTGCTATGTCCTCAGTTCTAAATGTGCTATGTCCTCAGTTCTAAATGTGCCATGTCCTCAGTTCTAAATGTGCTATGTCCTCAGTTCTAAATGTGCTATGTCCTCAGTTCTAAAGGGAATGGTTCAAAGCGACTGAAGAAGAGGTTCTCTCTGAGGAGCATGGGTCGTAGCGTCAGAGGAATCCTGCACTGGAGGAGCACATCCAGCGAGCTACCACAGAGCTACAGCTACACCATGGGCACACAGGTACCATGGGGGAGGGGCTACAGCTACACCATGGGCACACAGGTACCATGGGGGAGAGGGCTACAGCTACACTATGGGGACACAGGTACCATGGGGGAGGGGCTACAGCTACACCATGGGCACACAGGTACCATGGGGGAGGGGCTACAGCTACACCATGGGCACACAGGTACCATGGGGGAGAGGGCTACAGCTACACTAGGGGACACAGGTACCATGGGGGAGGGGCTACAGCTACACTATGGGGACACAGGTACCATGGGGGAGGGGCTACAGCTACACTATGGGGACACAGGTACCATGGGGGAGGGGCTACAGCTACACTATGGGGACACAGGTACCATGGGGGAGGGGCTACAGCTACACTATGGGCACACAGGTACCATGGGGGAGGGGCTACAGCTACACCATGGGCACACAGGTACCATGGGGGAGAGGGCTACAGCTACACTATGGGGACACAGGTACCATGGGGGAGGGGCTACAGCTACACCATGGGCACACAGGTACCATGGGGGAGGGGCTACAGCTACACCATGGGCACACAGGTACCATGGGGGAGAGGGCTACAGCTACACTATGGGGACACAGGTACCATGGGGGAGGGGCTACAGCTACACTATGGGGACACAGGTACCATGGGGGAGGGGCTACAGCTACACTATGGGGACACAGGTACCATGGGGGAGGGGCTACAGCTACACTATGGGGACACAGGTACCATGGGGGAGGGGCTACAGCTACACTATGGGGACACAGGTACCATGGGGGAGGGGCTACAGCTACACTATGGGGACACAGGTACCATGGGGGAGGGGCTACAGCTAGACTATGGGGACACGGGTACCATGGGGGAGGGGCTACAGCTACACTATGGGGACACAGGTACCATGGGGGAGGGGCTACAGCTACACTATGGGGACACAGGTACCATGGGGGAGGGGCTACAGCTACACTATGGGGACACAGGTACCATGGGGGAGGGGCTACAGCTACACTATGGGGACACAGGTACCATGGGGGAGGGGCTACAGCTAGACTATGGGGACACGGGTACCATGGGCGAGAGAGCTACAGCTACACTATGGGGACACAGGTACCATGGGGGAGGGGCTACAGCTAGACTATGGGGACACGGGTACCATGGGCGAGAGAGCTACAGCTACACACAGTTGAGAAGGGTTAGACTACAGAAATAATCAAAAGTGTTCGGAAACAGGCCGAAAATACTTATAAGCATTGGACAGTGGAAAACAATTATATATTTTGACTATATTAATAATTATTTTTTCAATGATGGCAGGTGAGGCTCTGCCTCCAATGACTGCACGTCACTGGGGCACTCTGAGAGAGACCGGAGACAGACCAGAGAGAGACCAGAGAGAGACCAGAGAGAGACCAGAGAGAGACCAGAGAGAGACCAGAGAGAGACCAGAGAGAGACCAGAGACAGACCAGAGAGAGACCAGAGAGAGACCAGAGAGAGACCAGAGAGAGACCAGAGAGAGACCAGAGAGAGAGACCAGAGACCAGAGAGAGACCAGAGAGAGAGACCAGAGAGAGAGCAGAGAGAGACCAGAGAGAGACCAGAGAGAGACCAGAGAGAGACCAGAGAGAGAGACCAGAGAGAGACCAGAGACAGACCAGAGAGAGACCAGAGAGAGACCAGAGAGAGACCAGAGAGAGACCAGAGAGAGACCAGAGAGAGACCAGAGAGAGACCAGAGAGAGACCAGAGAGAGACCAGAGAGACCAGAGACAGACCAGAGAGAGACCAGAGAGAGACCAGAGAGGGACCAGAGACAGACCAGAGAGACCAGAGAGAGACCAGAGAGAGACCAGAGAGAGACTAGAGAGAGACCAGAGAGAGACCGGAGAGAGACTAGAGAGAGACCAGAGAGAGACCAGAGAGAGACCAGAGAGAGACCAGGGAGAGACCAGAGAGAGACCAGAGAGAGACTAGAGAGAGAGACCAGAGAGAGACCGGAGAGAGACCAGAGAGAGAGACCAGAGAGAGACTAGAGAGAGACTAGAGAGAGACCAGAGAGAGAGCCAGAGAGAGACTAGAGAGAGACCAGAGAGAGACCGGAGAGAGACTAGAGAGAGACCAGAGAGAGACCAGAGAGAGACCAGAGAGAGACTAGAGAGAGACCAGAGAGAGACCGGAGAGAGACTAGAGAGAGACTAGAGAGAGACCAGAGAGAGAGACCGGAGATGCTTGTCTGCACTCGTCACCGCGGCGTCAGTTTCACATGGTTTGTTTTTTTACCCCGTCTGTGAAATTATTATTTTTTGCGTTTTTTCAAATCCAGAACAGAAACTAAAGATGAACGTGTCACCAACACAGTCAATTCAATACAATTTGTTCTTGTATTTCCCTAAATCACAACAGCATCATCTCAGAGACTTAAACAAAATCATTGAAATCACCACAGATCAGAGAAGCAACAGTTAACACACAACATACATGTATGTATTGGACCATAGGGAGAGGCCACATGGTAATGGACCATAGGGAGAGGCCACATGGTAATGGACCATAGGGAGAGACCAACGTTCATACATGTTGATAAAGGTCATACATGTAGAATGTTAAAGTGTCCTGGATCATCAGTCTTTCTTGTTAGACACTAACTGCCCAACAGACCCTCCTGCATCAGAGGAAAAACACTAAAACCCAGGACTCAGACTGTACAACGAGGACCGAGGCTTTAGATCCAGGACTCAGACTGTACAACGAGGACTGAGGCTTTAGATCCAGGACTCAGACTGTACAACGAGGACCAAGGCCACGCAGCGGGGCAGTCCGCAGGTGTAGATGGAGGAGGCCAGGCTCAGAGATCCCGTCATCGTACCATGAAACAGACAATGGGACAACGGGTGAATAGCAATGAACAAACTACAGTGAAAGTCCCAATAATGCTAAACAGATAAAGTAGGAAGAGGATAGTGCAGTTACCATACTTCTCCAGCAGGGGGCTCCCTATGCAGCTTGACTGACAGTCTGAGTTTAGCCTTCCCTGAGTCTTACCTTCCTAACCATATGCTAAACTGAAGAGGACTGTTTTAGCCTAGCCTTGAATGTGGAGACCATGTCTGCCGCTAATGGTGCTTTTTAAAACCTTAGGACCCAGCAGTCGTCTGGTGTTTTGCGAGCGCAGTGCTCGGTTTGGTTGATACGACACAAACGTGTCTTGAAGATAAGAAGGAGCCATTTATGGCTTTGTTAAAAGAAGGATTTTAAACTTTATTCTGTACTCCACAGGGAGCCAGTGGAGTGATTTTAACACCGGAGTTATGTGCTCCCTCCTTTTGGTACCTGTTAAGATCCTAGCTGCTGTATTCTGAACGAGCTGGAAGCTCTTCAAAGAGGTTTTAGGGCACGCTGCCAATAAAGCGTTACAGTCGAGCCTTGAGGTGACAAACGCGTGAATGAGTTTTTCCGCGTCACTTTTAGGAAGGAAATTCCTAATTTTAGCGATGTTCCGTAAGTGGAAGTACGCCGTTTTAGTTGTTTGGCTTATATAAGCCTTGAAGGAGAGTTCCTGGTCAAAAATGACTCCAAGATTCCTCACAGTGTTACTGGGTATAATACTGACATTATCAGAGTGATTATCTGGTTAGTGAGGGAGTCACGCAGGCGCTTCGGACCGAGTAGGATCACTTCTGTCTTCTCCAGGTTGAGAAGTAGGAAGTTAAGAGTCATCCACATTTTAAGGTCCTTTATGCAGCACTGAGCTTTTCCAGCTGATCTGTCTGGTTAGGCTTCATCGACAGATAAAGCTGTGTGTCATCTGCATAGCAGTGTCTGCAGCTGTGGAAGTAAATTCCATGCGTTTTAATTATGTTTCCTAACGGCAGCATATAGTGTGAAAAGAATTGGACTGGGAGGAGTTTGGAGAGTCCATGGAGCATGACTATCGGTCGGCCTCAAAAAGGTTCTGGCAAACCGTGCGGCGCCTCAGGAGGGGGAAGCAGTTCTTTGCCAACACCGTGTACGGTGCGGGTGGAGAGCTGCTGACCTCGACTGGGGATATTGTCGGGCGGTGGAAGGAATACTTCGAGGTTCTCCTCAATCCCCCCGTCACGTCCTCCGTCCCGGAGGCAGAGGCTGAGGATGTTGGGGCGGATACTTCCATCTCCCTGGCGAGGTCACCAAGGTGGTTGGCAGCCTCCATGGTGGCAAGGCGCCGGGAGTGGATGAGATCCGCCCTGACTATCTAAAGTCTCTGGATGTTGTAGGACTGTCTTGGCTGACACGTCTCTGCAGCATCGCGTGGCGATCGGGGGCAGTGCCAATGGTGTGGCAGACCGGGGTGGTGGTCCCTCTCTACAAGAAGGGGGACCGGAGGATGTGTTCCAATTATCGTGGGATCACACTCCTCAGCCTCCCCGGTAAGGTCTACTCCAAGGTACTGGAGAGGAGGCTACGGCCGATGGTCGAATCTCGGATTCAGGAGGAGCAGTGTGGTTTTCGTCCCGGTCGCGGAACACTGGACCAGCTCTATACTCTCCATCGGATACTCGAGGGTTCATGGGAGTTCGCCCAACCTGTCCACATGTGCTTTGTGGATTTGGAGAAGGCGTTCGACCGTGTTCCCCGGGGTGTCCTTTGGGGGGTCCTCCGGGAGTACGGGGTCCGGGGTCCTCTGCTGAGGGCCGTCCGGTCCCTGTATGACCGGAGTCAGAGCTGTGTTCGCATTGCCGGCAGTAAGTCAGACCTGTTCCCGGTGAATGTTGGCCTCCGCCAAGGCTGCCCTTTGTCACCGGTTCTGTTCACTGTATTAATGGACAGAATTTCTAGGCGCAGCCAGGGGTCGGAGGGGGTCCGGTTCGGGGACCACAGGATTTCATCTCTGCTGTTTGCAGACGATGTTGTCCTGTTGGCTCCAATGAACCAGGACCTGCAGCATGCACTGGGATGAGAATCAGCACCTCCAAATCTGAGGCCATGGTGCTCGACCGGAAAAAGGTGCCTTGCCCTCTGCAGGTGGGTGGAGAGGTCCTTCCTCAAGTGGAGGAGTTCAAGTATCTCTGGGTCTTGTTCACGAGTGAGGGAAGGATGGAGCGTGAGATTGACAGGCGGATCGGTGGTAAAGAGGGAGCAGCGTCTGCAGTCAGAGCTGTATCGGACCGTTGTGGTAAAGAGGGAGCTGAGCCGAAAGGCAAAGCTCTCGATTTACCGGTCAATCTTCGTTCCCTCCCTCACCTATGGTCATGAGCTTTGGGTAATGACCGAAAGAACGAGATCGCGGATACAAGCGGTCGAAATGAGCTTCCTCCATGAGTGGCTGCTCCCTTAGAGATAGGGTGAGGAGCTCGGAGTAGAGCCGCTGCTCCCTTAGAGATAGGGTGAGGAGCTCGGAGTAGACATGTGTTTAGAAACCAAAAGCAGTTTTACAATCCATCCCCCGGACCGAGACTGTAGACCCAGGACCGAGACTGTAGACCTAGGACCGAGACTGTAGACCCTGCAGGACCAAGACTGTAGACCCAGGACCGAGACTGTAGACCTAGGGCCGAGACTGTAGACCCAGGACCGAGACTGTAGACCTAGGACCGAGACTGTAGACCCTGCAGGACCGAGACTGTAGACCCTGCAGGACCGAGACTGTAGACCTAGGACCGAGACTGTAGACCCAGGACCGAGACTGTAGATCCAGGATTGACCTGTTCAGGATTAGGTCAAAGAGGTCGGATTCAGAGGTTCCATCGTCACACTATGAAGCAGACACAGGAAGAACATGCAAACTGCCTGGACCTTCAGATCGAGGTCTTATGTACAGATTGAATAACATATGTAATGGAATAAGAGATGACCAGGATGACATTTGGACAGAAGGGGCGGGGACACGCCGTGACATCATCAAGTTTATTAACAGGAAGTTAGACCCTCCACAATAAAAGCATTTCCTCACAAACAAAAGTTCAGTGACATCACCGCCGCATTTCAGCCAATCAGAGAGCAGCTCGTCCTTCAGCATCGTCCAGTATCAGAAACTCATTCACACAAATATTATTAACACCTTCATTTGTTCATTGTGTGTCTGTGTGTGTCTGTGTGTGTGGTCAGTGTGTGTCTGTGTGTGTGTGGTCAGTGTGTGTCTGTGTGTGTCTGTGTGTGTCTGTGTGTGTCTGTGTGTGTGGTCAGTGTGTGTCTGTGTGTGTGTGGTCAGTGTGTGTCTGTGTGTGTCTGTGTGTGTCTGTGTGTGTGGTCAGTGTGTGTCTGTGTGTGTCTGTGTGTGTGTGTCTGTGTGTGTGTGTCTGTGTGTGTGGTCAGTGTGTGTCTGTGTGTGTGGTCAGTGTGTGTCTGTGTGTGTCTTTGTGGTCAGTGTGTGTGTGGTCAGTGTGTGTCTGTGTGTGTCAGTGTGTGTCTGTGTGTGTGTGGTCAGTGTGTGTCTGTGTGTGTCTTTGTGGTCAGTGTGTGTGTGGTCAGTGTGTGTCTGTGTGTGTGGTCAGTGTGTGTGTGTGTATGTGGTCAGTGTGTGTGTGTGTGGTCAGTGTGTGTGTCAGTGTGTGGTCAGTGTGTGTGTCAGTGTGTGGTCAGTGTGTGGTCAGTGTGTGTCTGTGTGTGGTCAGTGTGTGGTCAGTGTGTGTACAGTGTGTGTACAGTGTGTGTCTGTGTGTGGTCAGTGTGTGTCTGTGTGTGTTCAGTGTGTGTGTGGTCAGTGTGTGTGTGGTCAATGTGTGTCTGTATGTGTCTGTGTGTGTTCAGTGTATGCATGTGTGCGTTCTGCATTTTTTCAGTTTGTGACAGTAGTAGCAGCTCATGGTGACAGTTGCCATGGTGACTGTTGCTTGTCGTCTGTTGCCTTGGTGACAGTGTCACTTTCGGCGGCAGCGGTAGCAGCAGGCTCGGCATCGTGGTTCCTCTGGCTCCGCCTCCCTGACCTGGGGGGTGGGGCTTGCGTAGGGGTTGTTGTTGTTGCCATTGACAACAGCAGGGTTAGCGATCACCGTGGAGCCGTCAGCGTCCGACCGGAGCTTTGCCCGTGGGATGATGACGTCGCTGTACGGGTTCTCCAATGACACATTGATGTTGGACATGACGGCCAATCAGAGAGCAACGCCTGCCGCGGACCAATCAGAGAGCAGCGCCTGCCGCGGACCAATCAGAGAGTAGCACCTCCCACAGACCAATCAGAGAGCAGCACCTCCCACAGACTAATCAGAAAGCAGCGACCGGATGCGGACCAATCAGAGCAGCGCCTGCTGCGGACCAATCACAGAGCAGCACCTCCCACAGACCAATCACAGAGCAGCGACCGGATGCGGACCAATTAGAGAGCAATCTGTGAAAACACAACAAAGGATTATTATTATTTTTAAAGCCTTGTCTCGTTTATTGTAGAAGTGTAGAAGACCAGAGAGAGAGACCAGAGAGAGACCAGAGAGAGACCAGAGAGACCAGAGAGAGACCAGAGAGAGACCAGAGAGAGACCAGAGAGAGACCAGAGAGACCAGAGAGAGACCAGAGAGAGAGACCAGAGAGAGAGACCAGAGAGAGACCAGAGAGAGAGACCAGAGAGAGACCAGAGAGAGAGAGCAGAGAGTGACCAGAGAGAGAGACCAGAGAGAGAGACCAGAGAGAGACCAGAGAGAGTGACCAGAGAGAGAGACCAGAGAGAGAGACCAGAGAGTGACCAGAGAGAGAGACCAGAGAGAGAGCAGAGAGTGACCAGAGAGAGAGACCAGAGAGAGACCAGAGAGAGACCAGAGAGAGAGACCAGAGAGAGAGACCAGAGAGAGACCAGAGAGAGAGACCAGAGAGAGAGACCAGAGAGACCAGAGAGACCAGAGAGACCAGAGAGAGAGACCAGAGAGAGAGACCAGAGAGAGACCAGAGAGTGACCAGAGAGTGACCAGAGAGAGACCAGAGAGAGAGAGCAGAGAGAGACCAGAGAGAGACCAGAGAGAGACCAGAGAGAGACCAGAGAGAGAGACCAGAGAGAGAGACCAGAGAGAGACCAGAGAGAGACCAGAGAGAGACCAGAGAGAGACCAGAGAGAGACCAGAGAGAGAGACCAGAGAGAGACCAGAGAGAGAGAGCAGAGAGTGACCAGAGAGAGACCAGAGAGAGAGACCAGAGAGTGACCAGAGAGAGAGAGCAGAGAGTGACCAGAGAGAGACCAGAGAGAGACCAGAGAGAGAGACCAGAGAGAGACCAGAGAGAGACCAGAGAGAGACCAGAGAGAGAGACCAGAGAGAGAGACCAGAGAGAGAGACCAGAGAGAGAGACCAGAGAGAGAGACCAGAGAGAGAGACCAGAGAGAGAGACCAGTGAGAGAGACCAGTGAGAGAGACCAGAGAGACCATACCATAGTAACCATAGTTACCATAGAAACCAACACAGATCTGAAACCATCAGTCTTTCAAACATGCTAATGTCACATGGTGTTTAACAATGGGACATTTATGGTCACGGCAACACAATAACAGATAGGAGGATATGGAGGAGCAGCAGCTCTATTCCGAGCTCTTGGCTGATTTTTATTTTTTTTCATTTTTTATTTGAGCAATCTTAGTATGAACATGTTACATACACATATATATATATATATATATACACATATACAGAATAATTATTTACAGAGTAAGCACATACGTCAGTGCTGAGTGTGTAGGAAGTGCTCCAAGGAGTAGGAAGAAGAGAGGACTGATAAGCTCCTCCCTCTTTCTCCATCCAGTGTATTGTGTGACAGTTGTTGGAGCTTCTATATGTTATGTGTAACATTGAAATATATATGACAAGTTCTATACATTTGAGTGTTTAAAATACAAGTGTACAACAAAGTTAATATCCTAATATTAGTTACTTCTGTAGTTTATTATAAAACTTGCAGTTATTATCTTTATGATTGAAATGATCAGAGGCTAAATCACATTTGGTACAAGAAGATCTTTGTGTAGTTTAATTATTGGAATTCATTCAAATTGATCTTTCAGTTTTATCCTGGATCATAATATTGTTGGTTAATTAATTGCTTGTATAACTTCTTGAAAACATAGATATTTACACAGCTTTAAATCAAAGTTTAGACTTTTCCATAAACTCTACATTGTGTAATGCAGTTTTTCAGTGTTGTTCTGGAAAAGTGTTTTTAAAATGTTGAGTATTCCTTAATGATAGTTTCCTTCTCTGGTCCTGAACATGCACGGTCTGTTTTCTGGCAGTTGTTGAAACATTGCTTTGAACAGTAGTTTAAGTGTTTTGAAGTTAACAAGTCAGAGAAAAAGCACATTAGTGAGTTCACAGAAACCTGTGGATTATTCTCACAGGTTTCTACTGTCGTCTGAAAAGTGGATCTGTGTTAGTTCTGTATGAGTGGCCCCAAACCTGGGCCCCGTAAGTCAAATAAGCAGAACTAAAGATGAATACAACATGTTCAGAGAAATGTCTTTGCAGAGAATTACTTTTAGCTATTTTTGAGTTTATATTTGTGGTTTCCAACATAATTTATTATCAAGAGTCACTCCCAGGAATGTAAATGTGTTTACTCTTATTATCAATAAATATTTAGTGTCAGATTTGACGACTTTATTTCCAAAAATAATACATTTTGTTTTCTTGATATTAAGTTAATTTTATTCATTTCAAACCATGTTTTCAGTCGTTTCATTTCTGTAATAACCAGTGTTTTTAGTGGCTGTAGATCGATGAATATGTCATTGGGTGTTTTCTCAGATCAGAGCCAGTTCAGGATCTATTTCTTCTAAAGCCAAATTGTTTGTTATGTAGTAGTTTGTATTTTTCAATAAATGTGTCCATTCTTCTTACAAACAGTTTTTCCAGAATGTCAGAGCGCTGCGGTAAGATTGAGGAAGGCTGTGATTAGAGAAGTGCTTATCTCCAGTTTAGTAGATGGGAATAACTTCAGCAGTTTTGATGCCGGAGGTGAATGATAAATGAAAGATCTGTGTTAAAGGTTTTGAGATTTCACTAATTACTTCTTTGATTATTGTCGTGTCTAAACATGTTTTGGCTTTCTTTTTTTACAATATCTATTATTTCATTTTCATTTGTTGCAGTGAGAAAAACAGAGTTTGTGTTGGTCGGGGGTTTCTTCTTCAGGTTTAACATTATTTGGTTTGATTTCTGCCAATTCTGGCCCGATGTTTACAAAAAAGAAATTAGTTCCTCAACGATTTCCTCAGAATTGTTCTTTACCTTTGTTGATGAAGTACTTTGGTAAACATATGTTTACATACATCATATTGACATACTGACATTTGAAAACTGGGGCTAGATCTGTTCTGGACCAGGACCAGACCAGACCTGGTTCTGGCCCAGTCTAGCCCTGGAGGTGTCAGTGAGTGACAAACAATCTCAGATATAGTTGTAGAAGATTCGGATGACTGACTCCAGGACCTCCTGGAGGAAGTCTGCGCTCTACGAGAGCTCGTACATTTACACAAACATCAAAGTTTCAACCCAAGAGTTTAAAGCGACTCAAGTCTTGAAATCACCTCACCTGCTGTAGACCCGAGTCCAGACCTGCTCCTGGACCAGACCTGGCTCAGTCCGGCTTTAGACCTGGGTCAATCCTGGTTCAGTTCTGCTTTAGACCTGCTTTGGTCCTGGTTCAGTCCTGGTTCAGTCCTGGTTCAGTCCTGGTTCAGTCCTGGTTCAGAGCCGGTCTCTGCCGTGGAATCTCTCTGCTCCGATACGCGCGTGAACAGGTCTGACCGGTCTGTGCGCGTGCCCGTGTGGAGGGCGCGGCCGTGTGCGTGTGACAGGTGGAAAGACTAAATTATTTTAAATGAATTCAGAGGAGGAGCTAGAGGAGGAGGAGGAGGAGAGAGGAGGAGAAGAGGAGCTAGAGTAGGAGGAGGAGAGGAGGAGGTGCTAGAGGAGGAGGAGGAGAGAGGAGGAAGAACGAGAGGAGGTGCAGCAGGAGGAGGTGTTGTTTCATGGTCTGCTCATGTTCACACATTTTTTTCCACTTCGTCATCACCTGGAAAACAACAAGGTTTCATAATAATAACAATAATAACATTAAAAACAATAATTAATAATGAAAACAAATAATATTTTTTCTTAATAATAATATTCTTAAACGAGCTGTATCTTTTGTGTTTAGCGCCCCCTGCTGTAGACTCTGTGTTTTGTTCAATTATATTTTAACTTTAAACCAAAGCAACACACTTTTTCTGGTCTCTCTCTGGTCTCTCTCTGGTCTCTCTCTCTGGTCTCTCTCTGGTCTCTCTCTCTGGTCTCTCTCTGGTCTCTCTCTGGTGTCTCTCTGGTCTCTCTCTGGTCTCTCTGGTCTCTCTCTGGTCTCTCTCTGGTGTCTCTCTGGTCTCTCTCTGGTCTCTCTCTGGTATCTCTCTGGTCTCTCTCTGGTATCTCTCTGGTCTCTCTCTGGTCTCTCTCTGGTCTCTCTCTGGTCTCTCTCTGGTCTCTCTCTGGTGTCTCTCTGGTGTCTCTCTGGTCTCTCTCTGGTCTCTCTCTGGTCTCTCTCTGGTGTCTCTCTGGTGTCTCTCTGGTCTCTCTCTGGTCTCTCTCTGGTCTCTCTCTGGTGTCTCTCTGGTGTCTCTCTAGTCTCTCTCTGGTCTCTCTCTGGTCTTTTCCTGGTGTCTCTCTCATGGTCTCTCCCTCTGGCCTCTCTCTCTGGTCTCTGTTCTGTAGTTGCAGTTCCTTGTCTGTCCTCCAGGAGGCGACAGATGCTGTTCTTGAACTGTTCTGCCGAAGCCTCCGGAATCATTTTTGTAGAACCAGGAAGTACCACGGTCAGCACTAGATCATTAAACGGAATTGGGACGAAACCGGAAGTAACAATCATTTTTTCAAATTAGTTTTAGACTAATAAGTCCTTAAGTGGTGACTGGTTAAGTTTCAGGTGTCTGAGTAAGATAGTTAAGGTTAGGGTTAAGGTGGTCTGAGTAAGATGGTTAAGGTGGTCTGAGTAAGATGGTTAAGGTTAGGGTTAAGGTGGTCTGAGTAAGATGGTTAAGGTTAGGGTTAAGGTGGTCTGAGTAAGATGGTTAAGTTTAGAGTTAAGGTGGTCTGAGTAAGATGGTTAAGGTTAGAGTTAAGGCGGTCTGAG